GTTAAAATGTAGAGGTCAATATCAAATTTGATATCCACGAGAGGATAAGGGAAGAAAGATAGATATACCCTCAGTCTCAGCGACCGGCTTCTCAACAACCGGAGCAGCCTCCGTCACTTCGCCGTTGGTATCCATAATGACAGCGCCTTCACTGAATGCGACGGACTTGCGTTGTTTTTGAGGAGCGGGTTCAACCTGCTAATCCGGACCAGCCCAAACACACGTTAGCGGGAGGGGCGAAATAGAAAACCCAAAAAAGAAGCGCTGGAACACACTAAAGAAGGGTCAACCAGTGTGAAGCTCGATCCGCAAATATCGCGTCCGAGCGTTGCACAACAGGTAATGGGTATATAGAGGGAAAAGAACACGGGGGTTGAGGTGGTGCTTCAGAAAAGCAAAAGCGGAGGGAGTCGATGGTCCCACGGCGAAATGTGATGAAGAAAATGTGGGAGGGAAACCGATCGGTAAAGGGAAAACGGGGGTGTGACGTACAGTCTCCGCCATATTTGGGCTGGCCGTTTTGTGATTATCGGAGAGAATAAGCGTTTCTCAACTTCCCACCAGGACAATATATTCTGGTAGATTGCTTGTTGGGTTCGCGAGAGATGACGGAATTTCCTCTAGGGATTGTGGTTTGAGCTGGTTGAATCTCGAAGTTTGGTTGTTGCGCTGACTCGATGGCAAAGAATCGCTGTTATCGCGGGCTCCTGACACGTGACTATAATGAGTCAAGTTCGTATTGCCATTACCGTCCGGTATTGTGATCCAGGCACGTGAGATCTCTGTCTGTCGGTGTCTCTCCCCTGGATTACATCAGACCATAACTAGGTTCACCGAACTAGCTAGTGTCTGTCTGTGTATAGCTTCATCCTCTTGTTTGATTATATTATTTATGCCATAACATTCGTCAGGCGGTGGCAGGCCCTGCTTGATTACTCTCTTCTCCTTTAGCATACACCACAATCTTCAAGTATACCATCGAATCCAACCAGAACCAAGAAAGATGGCCTCCCCCTCCCCCTCCGCTTCCCTCAGCACCTCCGCCTTCATGGTCTCCTCCCAAGACAAGCACTACTCCTCCGCCTCAGATGACGATGTCGCCTCCCTCCCTTCCGAATCTACCTCCGCATCGGACCTCGACTCCCTCGACTCGGACTACTCGGACGCCGAAGAAGAATGGCGCGAAAGCATCGAGCAATTAGAGTTGCTGTTGACGATGGTGCTGGTGCCTTTTGTGGGGAAGTACTTGGGTAGGAAGTGTGCTTATTGGAGTACGTATATACCCTCGTTCTTGGTGTGCATGGCGAGATACATACGAAGTACATATGCTAATGGATGATTGCACAGGCTGGACCAGATTCATGGAATGGAAGTACCCGGTTGAAGTTGTGGTTACCAAACCTGGTGTGTTCAAGGGGACGGGAGCTGTGGAGGCAATGGCCCCGATATAAGCATTTTCTTTCCTTCTTTCTTTCTTTCTTTCTTTCTTTCCTCTCATTTGAGGAAGAGGAGTATGGGTTCGTGTTTTATGAAAGTGGGGGTAGATTTATGGAATTTCCTGTTGGTTTTGGTGTTATTTACATATTTGTTCTGCTCTGTTTTATATTTTCTTTATGTGTGAGGGGGTGTGGTAGAGACTACTCATTGATTCATGGATGGATGGATGGATGGTGGTGGTGGTGGTGATGGCATAGCATACATGCATACTACATGCATGATCTGACTTTCCTTAGTATAATATACCCAATTCCAAATACTATCACAGATACATTGACATCTAGTATCACTACCACAAGCTTAGTAAATCATATAGCAAAGCAAAGTGAGTCTCATTCAATCATTTATATACTCCCAGAGTACATGTACGCATGCAAAGGAACCTATCTACCCAGAGTAACAAACCCTAACTCGCCCGCGCAGCCATATCCCCTAACCATTTAACAAACGAAACGAAAAGAAACGAAACCAGTTCGTCTGACCCAGTCATGGCCAACCAGCCAGCCAGCCACCTAGATAGTCCTACCCACCCTTCCCTCACACACACTATTCGCCCCCATGCCCATCGCAGCCTCCCTCGCCGCATCAACATTCTCCTTCGCCACGTTTCTTCTGACCTCACCACTCTCCAGACTCCCAAACGGGATTCCTAGCTCCTCTAGCGCCCTCTCCACAATATAGTACGGATCACTGTGTCCGGGCGTGAGGAAGCGTTCTAGAGGGATGGGGTTCGAGTCATCGTTCTCCTGGCGGTTGTGTACTTGTGTACTGAGGATATCTTCCAGCAGCTTGAAGCGGGAGAAGATAGGGTCGTGGGGTGGAAGTGATGAGAGAACGTTGGTGATGTGTTGGATGTCTGCGTCGATGTCGATGTCTGTGTTTGTTGTGGGATTGGCAGTGTTATTGCTGGAGATGTTGAGAGCCAACTGAGCGTTGACCTTGTGCATTCGTTCGGAGGATATGAGTGTTGTGAGCCAGGATGGTATCTGGTTCTGCTTCTGGGTATTGTCTTGGGTTTGGTTGGAGGTTTCTTTTGAGTCCTGGATTTGTGTTAGAGACGTTATATATTGGTGGTAATGGAATTAAATAGACGCACATGATTGATGATGGTCTGGTCATGGATGAAGAGGTTGTGCTCGGTCAATCGGTTGGAAGACATGGTGATGACTGAATTCTTGACAAGGCTCGATGATAGAATATGTGTAGACGAGTCTGTGAAATGAAATGCAGCAGTAAATATATAGAAGAACACTGACACGGTTACAAAACCCTCAATGTTCATACAAGCGGTTAGCAAACCCATCTTATATACTAGTAGTAGTACATTCCCCGCCTTCTAGCGCATAACCTCCCACCATTCACTCACTCACGCACATTCGTCACCTCCCCTCTTCCTCTCATCTAGACCCCCACAGACCAAACCAGACAAAAAAAAGAAGACCCAACAGCCCGGACCAGCCTACTGCAAGGTAAAGGTAAGGCAAAGGCAAAGCTCAAACTTCTTCTGCGCTAATGCAACTGAAAAGATTACCCCTCACAGTACTAATTGTAGAAGTATCACATACCCCTCAAATGACACAGCCCATCTTGCCTGTGTGCCCTGCCCATCCACGCCACGCAATCCAAACCCTGATCTGCAACCAAACGAGTTGAAAAAGAAAAGAAACACACCACAGCTTCATCACCGCCAGCAGCAGCAGTACCACCTTCAGCCGGAAATAGAAAACTAACGGTGATGGGCACTAGCGCAGAGGAGCATGATAGATAGAGGAACGATGAAGAAATAGGGGACTGTATGTGCAACCACACATCATAAGTACTACGCCCTTATCAGCAACCGCACCATCTAACTAACTATCTGCCACATGCATGTATGTCTTGAAAGGTAACCCATTCCCTCGGGCTTCACACACAAACCAAAAAAACTAACGGTTTCCCGCAGCTAGCCTGGTTAATCAGGGGGATGATGGATGACGGGGAAAGAGGAACGTTGTTACATTGCATCTTTTTCCCATGCTCAGTGCCAGATCGTCGGGTCCGGGATCGTCAGCGCCGGTGTTTCTACTTGGGGTTGGGCTAATGCATGTACTAGATACAGATACCTTTCGTACGCTGGGCGTGGTCTGATCTCCCTCTCTCTCGTGTGGGCTGTGCACACTTTGACGACTTGCCTGGTCTGGTCTGTGTCATTGATGGGGATTAGATCGATCGAAGTTCGAGTCGATTGCCTCTCTCGTGTTATCATCATCATCTACAGTGATCTACTACTTCTAATTTCATTTCAACGAGTAAAATCAGATTACATGGTAAGCAGAGTATCCTACTTGAGGACTACCTGACGAAGTAAGAAGGCTAACAAGCACACAACCTACCCAAGAGCAGATCATCACCAGCATCATCATGATCATGATCATGATCACCCCGAAACCCAATCACTCAATCAATCAATCAATCAACGCCTTGATGCCCAGTCCCCGAGACTAAAACACCATCAAACCCCGTCAGGTATCAATGACAGCAAAACTAGAACCCACTAGTAAGTAACAGCTATAGTTAAAGCCAATCCATACCAATTTCAGAACCTCCTACATATATAACTCTTACTCCTATAGTTAGTAAGTACTTACTATCTACACCGTCTTCCTTAGGAAAGAAAGACAAAAAGGGCGGACCCGGGGGAATGGTTCCGTAGCGTGATGTATGGATAGATCAATCCAATTTCTCCATCTAACGACGTTACATTGCATATATTATAGCCTACTTAGGCCTTAGTACTAGGGTGTACTAAGTACAGTAGGGCGAGACAACACACGGCAGGATCCTCATCCTAGTCACCCCATTACCTACGTCGTATAGTAGTAGTAGTAGTAGTAGTACTCCATAGTAATGCCTGCTCTCTTCTGCCTACGTTGTTTTCGTTGCCTATTTTAGAGGACTTTACTGACTGGTCTCATCTCCGCTAAATGCTCCATCCCTGCATGTCAAGGTATAACAGAACCAGTGTGTCGGGGATCCTAAAACTGACGGTGATAGACACGAGGTGATACAAGTCAGGGGTTCAAACAAAGCAACCATACTGTCGGGACTACTAACTACTCATCTGTCACAAGGGAAGCCCCATTATTGAGTTTCTTGATTGTGTACGTAGTACGACTACTTCACCACGCTACTGCGCCGAAAAAGCAAATGTCGGCCGCTACATTGTCGATCGCAATTCATTCATGCGTCGTAAGGGCTGCTGCGCCTGCCTACGAGGCCAGCCGGACTAATTATCGTCTCTCAATTATTGTATGGTCAATCGATCTGGCACCCATCTGTGCTACCGGGGCCGGCCAAGTCTCGGCATGCTGAATGAGCAACAGCAAAGGGGTATATCGTGTATCCTGGAGGATCTGCAACCTTTAGTATACATAAAAAATATCCTCGTGTCGAGTATTCAGCAATAACAAAGCAAAATCGCCCAATAAAGCAAGTGAGCAATAACGGCCCCCAACAGCCATCTATCAGTAACCCATTCTTTGCTGCCAAAATGTCCCAAGCCCATCAGTTGGGTCCAAGCGGCCAATTCCTATTCCAATGGCCCCACCCCTTCGTCGTGACAGTGACTCCAGCCAGGGTCCCGGACGGTAGGTGGCCCTGGCATCTGATTCTATTGATCCATCATGAACTGACAGCTGACTTGCGCCCCTCATCTGGCTTTCTTTGACAACTGATGGGGTGTCTCGCATGCTGTCGGTGGAACACAAGGCAGTTGAAGGTTTCTCAAGCCTTGCCTCCCACAAATGGTGCGGTTTTTTTCCCTGAATACTTGTGTCAAACTGTGTGGCCTCCAGTCGTTCCTGGATTTCTTGTGTGTTATTGCAATTGGCTGCGCTCGAGGTCGGCATACTCAAGACCTGGGTGTCAAGCTCTGTATCCATATCAACAATGATAGATGCTGTCTCCCATTCCTCCAGGTCAATCAAACTCGCCACCTCTGAGCAGCAGTCATTGGCTTCAGGAACAGCTGTGAAGTCCACGCTCTCATAGTCTGGCTCCTCGATGCTCTGTCTAATTTGACTCTGATGACCCTGCGGATTCTCGCCACAAATGCCGACATCGGACATCAAGGACATCTTTCTACTGCCGCCATGATATGGGGACCAAAGGAGTTGGTTGTAGTTTTGTGTGGTTGATCCTCGGACCTTGGCACCCATTACTCCTTCATAGTCAAATACTTCAGTATCAGCTACGGATCTGCTGCGAGGCTCCAAGGTTGGCTGCCGACACTTGCTGGCATTGGGCAAGGCAGACTGGTTGATTGTATTATCGTGCACACGAGCTGCAGCAATAACCTCGTCTGTTCCTCGTTCCTTACTGTTCTGGCCACCCGCTTTGTCTTGAACAGAAGGCTTTCCTGCGACTTCATTCGACCTCATGACATCAGATGGATGCTTGTACTTCTGTGAGACACCATCTTGAAGCCTAGTGGAGCAGTGTTGGCCCTCACCTATGCTTGTGTCATCAATGAAATATTGAATATCCAAGTGGGAGTTTGGTCGCTCTTCGAGGTGCACATCGGAATTTCTACTTGACGAGATACCACAAGCAGACACGTAACTATCTGTAGCAAGTTCTGAGGTGGCATTCATCTCCATGGACTCGGTGACAATGTGGTCTGCTTTGGGTAATTCTCGTGAGCAATAGAGGGCGACTGTAGAGGCGGTGTCCGAGACATCACTCTTATACCTGCTCCCTAATGAGACTGAATGACATTTCTCCTCGAGATGTCCATAGAACGAGCTATTTTGGGTAGCATTGTTGGTACTTCCTTTAGTAAGGAAGTCGTTTTCAGAGAAATCAGAGCCAGCGCTGGCTCTCATGGTATCTGTGTTCACGATCGTATCGAACCCAAAGAAACCTAGCGAGGGATCGCGGCTGCGGTTTCTGATAGGAGATGATGCCTTCCCTCTTTTGAAAATCCCGCTTGTACGTTTTTGGCTCAGCTGTGATGGTGTTAGAGATCTCATCAGGGCCCAGTAGCATGTCACTTACAGTCAGACGATCACAGGGCACGTTGGGAGCATGAAAGGTGTCGTTGAATGTCCTCTTCTTCGAACGAGGGCGTTCGCTGATCTTCTTATCCTGAACCTTGTACTCGTATCGCTCAGTTTTAGTTCTGTGTCGAGGCTGCCGCTCATATCCGTGACGTCTCCTTTCTTCGGATTTTGAAGACGTTGTCAAATTATTCGCTGTTGACGATGCAACTGGCTGTTGGGATCCTGTTGACTCGAGTGAAGCCACCTGACCCACACGAGCCTGCTGTAGTTTTCGCACAGAAGGGTAACACACAGTGGCACCTCCTCTTTCAGCAAAATGATCCTCCCATCCAAGCCAACCTGGCTGTTGTTCAGCGAAACTGGCTGGCATATTCTCAGGTTCCGCGGTCATTTTCTTTATTTCTTCGTAACGGTCTTTGTCGAAAGCATAAGACACTGGTTGTAGGTAAAAAGAAGGAGCTGCAAAGTGTCAGTGATGCACTGAAGACTTCAGATACTGGTAACGATGAATGGGACCTACGGTGGCGTAACGAGCTTTTATCTCGTGGTTCGTGGCTATTGTGCGCGGCATCTGATCCAGTTATCCAGTCCTGCACTCTGTTATAGAGATCGGAGTGCCGTAGCGGATTAGAACCGACTTGAGCCATGTTGTTAAGAAGGTAAGGGATAGGGCTGTGGTCAGTGATTCGAGGGGATATGTAGTGAGAGTATAGAGAGAGAGGGAGGGAGGTGTGTGTGTGTGTGTGTGTGTGTGTGTGTGTGTGTGTGTGTGTGTGTTGGGGGGGGGCAGGAGCTCCCCGACGACATCTCGACCAACGCTTAGCGTCACTGTTGCTTCAGATGATGTCGCGGTTGCCGAATATGACCACTTGACTACTGAGTCAGTTTAATATAGAATTAAGCTGGGAAGGAGAATTTGAGACGGGTGAAACATGTGTTTTTCCAATGAGACTATTGATATCTAAGTATTTCTGTTCGCGGTATAAGTCTCCTACTCGTCACATCGTAACTCCCCATGTTCCAATTCACTTTTTAACGCGCGACAGTGATATCTCGGGGGTATCAACGTGGCCGAGGGTTCTTTAAATCCCGATCAACGGCGCTATACTCTTCAGCAACACAAGACTGCTTTTTGCTGTATCTCCGCTAGGAGTATAACTTGTACTCTCCGAAGTATTCTTGCACAATGGGGGTCTATTACATGCTGTGCCTAAGAAATGGCAAGTGACATCCTGCCGCTCCGTTCGTGTTCCCTCCGGTTATCGCCAGCTATCTCTCCAGATATCTAAAATTCGAAGTCAAAGGTATAGGCATGCAGAATCAATAAAAAGATGAAATCAGGCCTTCAATGAGGGGGTAATGCTCGATTGGCTTGTTGTGCACCCTCGACAATAACGATGGGAGCATGAAGCCTCAAACGTGTTGCGTATAGGACTCCACACTGCGCAGGAAAGGCATTGCAAAAGTAGGCTGTCAGTATAATGACGATTTTCAGCAGTCCTCGAGCCCTCCGCAGTACATCCTTCAAGGGATGCCTCATTTGTTGTTTTGCCCGGTCAGCTGTAAACCATGATATTTCATGGACACTAATTTCCGATGGTCTCAGTTCACCCGATAGATGCTGCAATGGTTGCTGCGGAGTGAGCAGCGGTTGGCTGATACGCAAGGCTGCCATTCTATTGGCCAATACCCTGTTGTCCTGCACAGCACCTGTCACCGCCACGCCGTCGTCAGGGGCTGCTTCTGTTATGCTCATCTTGTGCTCACGGGCATTCCTGGCACATTTCTTGATCTCGGAAGTCCGGTTATCGACAGATGGCTGCCATCATAAATGTGTTACATCATTGTAAGCACCTATAGTGTTCTTGACCACTGCGCGGCCATCTTGACGGATATTCATACTGTATTCATTGGTGATGTCGCTCATCCTGGTGAGGCCCTAGAGTATGGAGGCGGTTCTCAGGGTGAAGGATGAAGCACCGTGAACGAGGAACAAAAAAGAAGGTTGACAATAAAAAAGAATGTAGAAGAAAAGGTAGATGGTAACACTACCTTCATACTTGGGGTTGGACATCGTTCATGCGCTGCTCACACTTGCTAAGATTTAAACTCCTGAGTGCAGCTGAAAAGCTTGCAGCCCATCAAACCCCAAGACAGATTCTGGTAGTCAATAAAGAAGTCAGTGGAGAGCAATTGAGGAGGTGGGTATGAGAAAGAGTGGTGAATAGAAAGAAGCACGGTGCAGGTCTGGCCCCACCAGTAGCTGGAATGCTTCGTTTGAGTGAATACTTCTACCCGGGGATTGCTTAGTAGTGAAGACCCGGAGCTGTCAGATAAGCTAGATAGATAGCTGGCAGGTACCAGACGGGTGCCAGCCTATGCTCCCCGGCATGTGTAAGTTACAACTTCAAATGCTAGCAATACAAGCTGCTGGGTTGGTTGAACAGCAGCGTCCGTGCAGCGAAAGATAGACCATGTCCGGCATCTTAAACAGCCCTACGACGAGGTTCCGGGGACATGAGTGGTTCTTCGTCGGTCAACGGGAGCTGCAAATTGACACCCGTTGTGTACTTGAGCTTCGGCGCCATGCATAGAGACCTAGCCGATCTTTGGTCCTTAGCTTTCTTTCAGTGCCGGCCTGGTTTCCCGGTTCTTGCATCCTCAAAACCAGGCTCAGCATCGTCCGCCATCCAAGTAGGGTAGATAGTAGTTCCAAGCGCCTTGATGGAAGGTCGCCAAACCAACTTGTTGTAGTAAACCTCCACCCACCGGAATCGACGGAGAAATGTGATCCCAGTGCAACGGCTACAGCCACCGGCGGACATCTCAATGTTTTTTCCCAAATTTTCCAGTAATTTTCCAAGAGAGGAGGGGAACGGAGGTGCGCCGGGCATGACTCTTTAGCGTCTCCAATCCCATCGCTGGTTTGCATTATTAAGACAAACAGCCCTGATGCTCTCTCTTCCCTTCCCTTAGAGCCTCGAGCACGCCAGGCTCCTCCCTCTTCCCTTCTTCCCTCTCTTTTTTTTCGTTTTTCCCCCCCGCTTTGCCAGCCGCGTTTTCTTCTTCTTCGCCATTCTCACCGGTTCCTACCAAAACTAAATCCCCCCTAAAACTCCCCCCCATTCCTTGGTCCCGGTTCTGCAGAACTGCTTCCTTAGTTTACAACTACCCCTCCATCCCTTGCTCAAATTCAAGCACCACTCGCAAATCAGGTAGGTTGGTCTCTTCCTTTCTCTTCGTCTTTCCCTTGGCAGTATGTTTTAGTTTCATGTTTGGTGGAGTCACTTGCAACGGTCTCACTGAATCACCGTCGTGGAGAGGACCCTCCAGGGTCTGCTGTCGTCTCTTTTAAAACCATTCCCTCCATCCTCCCTCTCTCTTACATTTCTTTGCTTTTTCTTCTTCCGTCTACATTCTTAAGTCTCTACTTGGTCGGCTTTTGTGAAATTTTCTCAAAGTTCGACGTGACTACTTTACCAAAGAAATCATCGCATCCAACCCCTCATTTTCGTTGTGACATCTCAATCCGCAAGTGCTTACTACCAGAATAGTTTCCAGCCCCGTTGTAGGAAACATCAATAAAAATGTCTAAGCTCTTTATCGGGTCTGTCAATTCCTTTTCCTTCTGGCCAACCCGGCCCCAATATCATACTGACCAAACTCAGCGGCCTTGCCTGGCACACCACTGACGAGACCCTCCGTGAGGGATTCTCGCAATATGGAACAATCGAAGAAGCCGTTGGTCATCCATGTTTTACGGAGCAATGAAAGTTCTCCATCATTATGCTCGTACTGACCAAACTCAGATCGTCGTCAAGGACCATGACACCCACCGCAGCCGTGGATTCGGATTCGTCCGCTTCGCTTCTGATGCTGAGGCCGACGCTGCCATGAACGCCATGAACAACCAGGAGTAAGCAAGCCATCTAGATGCCTCATGTCAAGTCACTGACAAATTTTCAGATTCGACGGCCGTGTCATCCGTGTCGACAAAGCCTCGGAGTCGAGACCGCGCATGGGCGGTGGTGGTGGATTCCATGGACGCGGTGGCTACAACCGTGGCTACAACGGCGGCGGTGAGTTTTTCTCTTCTATCTCCCTAGTGGGCACTGGCATCAAGGCCTTCCTTTTCCCCTCCAAATTTCTCATTGTAGCTAATAAAAAGCAGGCTGGCGTTCCCAGCAGCAGGAGCCTGAGGCTGCAGAGTAAGCTGCGCAAGCTATTATAGCATTGCCGATGGCTTACTACGGACCGGTCTCTTGTCCTATCCTTCATTTCTTTTCACGATTTTTTCCCTCTTTCTCGCATGTCAGCTGCTGTTAGTCCCTTCGGACATAAAGTTTGGGATAAAACCCCGGGCGCATGCTACCCAGCTTTTATGATGGTGACTTACGACGAAACGACCCTTATCTCTAGTTTCTTTCCGTTATTGTTTTCCCCTCTCACGCCAGTTCATTGTGATAATGACATCTCTCTCGTGGTTTGATTTGATTTCGCATCGCGTGGCTTTAAATCAATTGTTTCTGACGTCGTTTACTCGGGTCATGGTTGACATGTATGTAATCTGGCTTATGTTAACACCTGATTTGAGGCCGATGGGAAAGTGGTCCAGCGAAAGCAATCAGTGCTCTATCGTGAATTTGGAATTAATCTAGGTCCAAGTCATGATCTATCCCAATCTCATCATCTCTATCTCTCTATATTCTTATTCAGACATGTCTACTCGGCAGGTGGGAACCGTTCATGTGCTTCCCGCGCCGATGGATGCAGCGACTCTTCCAAGTCGCGTTCAGCCTGCTCCTCTTCCCTACGCACCTCTTCCTCGTTCTGAAGCGCTTTAACCCGTTTCACTAGATCGGTGACATGCATCTCAGCATTACCGAACCCAAGCCCCTCGAGCGCCTTCTCCAGCATGAACAGGTATTCCGCGTTCTTCCCGCTCTTGCCCTCGCTGCGACTGATCACCTCGGCCACCGCCTGTTGTTCACGTTGTGCCGGGTCACGTAGAAATTGCGGGTTGCTAGGCTGGCCAATGTATACCATGCAGGTGATGGGGGTGGCAGGATAGTCCGAGGTGTCAGTAGATCTAGCTCCCTGGGGTGTCAGGACCGGGTGGAACGGCGTGTAGTGGTCAGAGTAGCCGTTGATTTCCCGGATGTCAAGATATTGTCGGACTTCATTGGCGTGGCTGGCAGGGATGTGGTACGCTACGCCCCAGACTGTAGCTGTTGCGGAGGTTTCATGGTGTGCTAGCTGTTTAAAGGGGTGGTTTGTGAGACAATTGATCAGGGGAACAAAATATTTGCAGGCGCATAAGGGAGCAAAGGAATCATACCGGATCGTCAAGAGTTTCCCAGAACTCCCGGTCAATCACTGTTAATACCCGTCCGGGGTTCTCTTTTGTGCCGCGGTGGTCGTTACTGTCCTGCGTGTTAGCCTATTATGCTGCAAGATACCTCGGCTTGAAAGCACATTCAGACATACCTAGCCTATGGGTTAAATCTCCCAGTTAGCCTCGTCACCGATTGATATCTTACACAGACAAACCAAGCAGACATCAAGGAATAGACAATGACATAGTCAAGAACATACCTGCCAAAACCGTCGGACATAGCCATTGATATAACCCGGAACACGCTGATCTACCACAACGATGATTAACAATCACTCACACCAAACAAACCGAGACCTCCAAGACCCTTTACCCTTAGAAGGACATCAACATACCAAAATGCGGAGGAGGCTTCCAAATCAAGCTCCTTTTGGCAGCAAGAAAAGAAGAAAGGGTCAGCCACCACCGTCACCCAGTCATGGGATAATCACCGCGCCAATCGCGTTCAAGGACCTGATAGGCTTACCCGTAGCCGAACACCCAGAGGTCGCCGTCGGGGAAGTTTTCGCGCCAGCCCTTTTCGGATGAAAGGACATGGTGCTCGGCTTCCTCGCTAGACACCATAGCGTAACTTATATTCGGGGTGAGTTTTGGTATGGTCTTTTAGCTGATGATCTTTGTCGGTGTGGATATTTCGGCTGGTCTGCGGGGTACTATATATTACCCCTCATTCGAGTTTGCGTGTTGGATATATATTGATGGGTAGGGGGGAAGATGTGGTATTTTATAGGAAGGAAAGTCTTTTGACTTTTAGTTGTTTGAAGAAGGGCTTTTTAAAGAAAGCAATAGAAACAATACAACTGCTCTAAAGGGAGCAAATACCCCAGATTTGTCAGTCTATGAATGCAAATGGCGAACAACTGAGCCAGATAGTCGCAAGAAGGCCTCTGCGTGTTTGCATTGTTTGCGAGGTCCCCTGACCTGATCCGCGCCCACAGGATGTTGCCACTTTCCTGCTCTCTCATTCGCTCTCCTGTTCTTCTGATACTACTAAGCACTATCCCCAGAATTCTAATTGCTTTATTCCAAGCCTCATATTGTTAATATAGGTATAAATCTGCGAGCCGGAAAATTTAGGAACCGCTTGTCACTACCGGATTCAACGGCACGGTTTTGACTGAGGACCTTGGCGGACTGCAGAAACTGCTCGTACTCGTAAAGCCGCGTCGAGTATTGCTGCGGGGCGGCCCAGACGCCGGACCCGGCCTTAGCTCAAGCTAAACCGCCTGGCAGCTATCGTCCACGGCGGATCGCTAGTCAATTGAATTCAACTATCTTCAACTTTATGCAGGGTTGGGTTGGATCCGATCCTTCGAAGACGCATCCCTGTTCAGCCTAGATTAATTGATCGACCTGACTGTGTCGATTGTCAGCTCCTTCAGGCTACATCAATGCCTGGCCGCCATTCTATTCCCCCTGGATTGTATAGTGTTCTGTCGCGTGCCGATTAACTGCATCATGGCTAGCCTCCTTCGTCTACTGCGCACCCAGTATAACCCTCCGGTCGACCCCAGTGGGGTTTCGTTTGCAGGAAAAACGGTCATCCTGACCGGAGCTACATCCGGACTGGGGTTCGAGGCCGCCGTCAAGCTCCTCAATCTCGGGGTGGAGTCGCTCATTATAGGGAGCCGGAACCTCCAGCGAGGCCAAGCGACCAAGACGGAGCTTGAGAAGCTTACAAACAGACAAGGAGTGATTCAAGTATGGCAGCTGGAAATGAACAGCTTCCAGAGCGTCAAGAGTTTCGCAAACCGGGTGAACGAGGAGCTGCACCAATTGGACATTGCGTTACTAAACGCCGGAATATGGAACCGAGATTTCGGTGTATCGCCCGAGGGATGGGAGGAAACATTGCAGGTCAATACGTTATCCACTTCCCTGTTGGCGCTGTTGCTCCTTCCGAAACTAAGGAGTAGCTCGTCCTTGTCCGACCCGGCTCATCTTACGGTCGTGTCCAGCCAACAGTTCGTGCGCGTCAAAGCTAAGAGTCTTCGGACGGTGCAGCCATTATTAAAGCATCTGAATAGCCCGCAGACCTTCAAAGGCCCCAAGCAGTATGGTATATCGAAGCTTCTCCTGGAGTATGTTCTCAAGACGGTAGCTGGTCTTGTTCGGAATGAGAATGGCACTGTGCCGGTCATCATCAACACTGTAAGCCCTGGGTTTTGTGTCTCGTCTCTTGGACGGCAGTACAGTAGATTCTACGAGCGATGGGCGACGTGGTTGGCTTATAAGCTATTTGCGCGCACGGCGGAGCAAGGGAGCCGGTCGTTGGTCAGTGCCACTTATCAGGGGGTGGAGTCGCATGGCAAGTGTTGGCGGAGTGATGGATATCTAGAGTAAGTGTCTCTCTTCTGTGATATTTCTACGTGTTGTCTTGGTGGCAGGGTTGCTAATGTTAGGGCAGTGAATCTGTGGCGTTGACAACAGGAGCGGAAGGAAAGCAGTTCCAGGCGAGAGCGTGGACGGAGATCATGAACGAGCTGGAGGAGCAATCCGAGGGGCTGAAGGAGTCAATCAGGGGGTGGTAAAAGCGCTTAATCTTCACTAGCCGGGGCGATACGTCTACGCCTTCCTGCACGGGGCCAATTGAATGACTGGCCAGCGTGACTGATGGGTGATATTCATAGTCAGACCAAACCAAACCATAATTTGATAGGAAAGAGACCTTCCCCGACGAACAGACGCTGGCCAGGCTCCACCGCGAATGGAAGAGGAACCAGTGGGCCAAGCATTTCCGGAACGAATAAAGAAGCCTCAAGTATAGGGCTGAGAACGGTCGGACATGCCAGTGTTTGGTTGCGGACCGTCCATTGCGGCTGTCAAGAGGGTAAGGTTACACTGGCGACGGACTATTTCTATCTGAAGCAATTGTTGCTGCCTCCCCATTGTAGAGGTATATACACAGCCTCCTTGCAGGGGTGGCAGGACAAGTTTATTAGTTGAAGCGGTGCCTGAGCATCTCCGCTTGGCGACTCCTGCTGAACCGCCGCCGCCCCACGGCTCCGCTCCCAAGGCCGCAAAAACAATCTGTTCGTTAATGACTAGCAGCCCATGGAACAGAACTTAATCTCTCCATCGCTCTCCCTGACCTCCTTTTGATCCCAACCCATCTTTTTCTTTCTTCTCCTTCTCTCCCTTCTTTTTCTCCCCTTTCAAACCCGCCCTTTGTCACTGGGCGTTTACCCTTTTCATATTGCCCCTCGCTGGATTGCGCCCGGCGTCAGTTACGTCAGATCCGCGGCCATGGCATACAACCAGTCCTACAACCCCGATGCGCTGCCAGCGTGAGTCACAATCCTCTGGAGGTCAATCAGAAGTGATGGATGGGATCGCTAACAAGCCATAAATCGATACAGGCATGCGGAGCCGGAACAGGTGCGGTAGTTTCTCCTCGAGAGTGGTTCTTTGTCTGCCTGGTTGAATGCCCCGCGCCTCCTAACTCGGTCTATGACTATTAGGTAGCGCAAATGCTCGGTGCCATGCAATCCAGCAACTCGCACCACCAGAAGCATTCTCGCCCGTCTCCTCACCCTTCCTCCAGCGGCGTCCCACCTCGAGTCCCCGTTTCTAGTGCCGGCAATCCCCATCCCCAGCGCTACGGCGCACCACCGAGTCAGCGTCCTCCCATGGAGGCCCCGCATGGTGGACGGTCGCCGGCAAACGTCCCTCCAGCGAGTCAACAACAACGTCCTCACCCACTACACCCTTCTCCTCCTCCACAGAACTACGGCTTCGGGCCGCCTCCTAGCCAGCCAGTGCGCAATCGTCCGCCGCCCGCGTCGCGTCCGCCCAACTCGCCGAACCATGGCGCGCTGGCAGTCCCCGATGACGACCCGCAACAGCTATTCCCCCTTTTCCGCGCTGCCAACACGTCGCATTCAGGCACACTCACAGAGATGGAGCTGGGCTCTGCTCTAGTGAACGGAGACTTCACATCGTTTCACCCCAAGACCGTTAAGATGATGATCCGCATGTTTGATCGGAACAACAGCGGGACAATCTCATTTGACGAGTTTGTGGCACTGTGGCGCTACCTTGCAGCGTGGCGGGAGCTGTTCGATCGGTTCGATCAAGACCGCAGCGGGCGCATTAGCCTGTACGAGTTCGAGAATGCACTGGTGGCCTTCGGGTACCGGCTGAGCCAGCCATTTGTGATGGTGCTGTTCCGGACGTTCGAGAACAAAGGCCGGCAGATGAATAATGGTCCTCCGTATGGGCCGGCGAAACAGGGCATGAGCTTCGATTTGTTCGTGCAGGCGTGCATTAGTCTGCGGCGCATGACGGACGTCTTTAAGCGGTATGATGATGATCGCGACGGCTATATTACGGTGAGCTTCGAGGAATTCTTGACTGGTGAGTTGGTTCCCACCCTGGTTATGTGGAATGAGATTGGATGGCTGGTTGCTAATGTCGGTGCAGAAATCCTCCAGCTTCAGGATGGATAGTTTTGATATGGATGATATGGTGGATTCTTCCAGGGTTTCCTCCCTAATTATAATTGTACATTATACCCTTATTATTTTCTCGTAACATCTTCCTGCGCAAGCAAAACCCGGGGAATCTACAGCGAACAAGTATGACATGGGCTTTTTTCTTTTCTTTTTTCCTAGTCCCAAGCCAAGCAAGACTTCTCCCTATCGGGCGCAATTGCAATGCCCTTAGGTGCATGGTGCTTTAGTAACACGCAAGTCAAGATGCGGTGTAGACTCAATTCCACGATGCTCCATCATGATTGAATGATTGATAGAGAGCATCACTGCAGATCATCGTCGGGGAGGAAACAAAAACAAAAAAGAAAAAAAAACTAAGGAGGATTGTGACAGGTCTTATTTGTTTGTTTTTCAGGCATGCAGACATGCAGACAGACCCCAAAAAATGTCCGGGCGTGCCAACGGTTGTAACTTCCCCCCCAAAATCTCTCCCTCCTGCAATCGGGATTTTTATCCCAAATTTTTAGTTGTTGTATGTCATTCCATGGGATTGCTTGACTATCATCCCGTGCCCATGGATTGAAGTGGCCCGTGGGGTGGCTTTTTCGGGCGTGCTTGTAGGCTTGTCCGTTTGGCGCCCACGAGATCGATAGCATTTTTGCCCGTTTTGGGCATGGCTTTGTCGTTGGTTTCTGTTTCAACTTATCTCCGAGCCTTAAGGGCGAGCGCCAGCATTGACAGGGGAAAATTTTCTCTCCTTGGAAAGGATTATTTAATTATTAACTGGGCCAGATTCCTGCCTGGTCTAGCTAGCTATTTAGTTTAATTTTACTTGATTAGTTGAGCCGGTCTCTCTTGCGCCCTGATTCCCTCCCCCCAAGTCTAGACTTTAAGACTGGCTGCAACCGTCGGTTTAATCCGCCACTCTGAGGGGTCCTGTTTCCTTCTCCTCACCCCCGATTCTATTCTTAGACAGCAAGCTTTCGGCTTCTGTTGAGTCATTCTTTTTTCGTTTTCTTCTGTTTCCCCCTCCAGACTCATCCTGGAGTTGCAAGCATGGTGGTCACTCAGGATCTTCCTCGTGAGGATGATCGTATCGCGCAGCAGCAGCAGCATGCCGACCAGGACAAGGACGTCCTGGTAGATGCGGAGAAGATGTCACCATCCGATGTTGGCTCTTCGTCCAGAGATGGTTCAGAGAAGCCCGACCCTGTCGGGTCGCCCTCAACTGAACAAATATCCCCAGAAGCGACTGAAGATGTGTCTGAAGAGAAAGCTGGCGCTGGTGCGCCGTTGGATAGAGTGCCGTCGCAGGCGCAGAAGCTAGGGAAGAAGAAGATTGTCGTTGTCATGACTGCGCTTTGTGTATGTCCCTTGCTTTTCCATGCTTCTGATGGCTCCATCGCTAACCACATGGTGTTTCAATATAGCTTGTCTTGTTCCTAGCAGCTTTGGATATGGTAACGACCCTTTATCGCGCCGTCACATTTACATCTACTCACACTTGTTGTCTCCACAGACCATCGTCTCTACAGCCCTACCTACTATCGCAACACATTTTCACGCTTCCGAAAGCGGTTACTCATGGATCGCCTCATCATACATGCTGGCCAACGCTGCCTGTGTCCCGTTATGGGGTAAGATCAGTGATGTCTGGGGTCGCAAGCGCATCATTCTTATCGCCAACTTCCTCTTCCTCGTCGGCAGTCTGATTTGCGCGCTGGCCATCAACCTCCCCATGATCATCTCCGGCAGAGCCATCCAAGGTGCAGGTGGTGGTGGTATCATTGTGCTAGCCAACATCTGCGTCTCCGATCTCTTCAGTGTCAGGTCTGTCGCACCTCTCCACGAGCCATCCACTGACCCAGCGCTAACACACCCTCAGAGAACGCCCCATGTACTATGGTCTCTTCGGCTCTACATGGGCCATCGCCGGAGCACTAGGCCCTATCGTCGGCGGTGCCTTTACCACTGACGTAACCTGGCGCTGGTGCTTCTACATCAACCGTAAGCCTCCCTCTCTCCTCCAGCCCTAACACCCCACTAACAACCCCCAGTCCCCATCGGCGGCGTCTCCTTCGTCATTCTCGTCTTCTTCCTCAAGATCGAGACCGGCAAAGTTCCCTTCTGGGCGGGCATCCGCTCCATCGACTGGACCGGTAACATGCTCATGCTCGGCGGCACACTAATGTTCCTCTTCGGTCTCGAATTCGGCGGCGTTAACTACCCCTGGGACTCACCAACAGTAATCTGCCTCATCGTCTTCGGCGTCTTCACCTGGGGCCTCGCCGTTCTCAACGAATGGAAATTCGCTCGCTACCCCGTTATCCCCATCCGCCTATTCAACAACACCCACAACGTCCTGATGCTCCTCCTCTGTTTCTGCCACAGCATGGTCTTCATCTCCGGCTCCTACTACCTACCTCTATACTTCCAAACCGTCCTCCTCGCCAGCCCCATCATGTCCGGAGTCTACGTCCTTCCGACCGTTCTGAGCCTCTCCATCTTCTCCGCCGCCACTGGCTTTGTCATCAAGAAGACAGGCCGTTACCGCGAACTCATCATCTCCGGCTTCGCCCTCATGACTCTCGGCTACGGCCTCCTCATCGACCTGAAGTACTACGCCTCCTGGCCCCGCATCATCATCTACCAGATCATCGGCGGTATCGGCACCGGCCCGCTCTTCCAGTCCCCGCTTGTCGCTCTACAGGCCAACATCCACCCCTCCGACATGGCCGCTGGCACAGCTACCTTCGGTTTCCTGCGCCAGGTCTCCGCCGCTATCTCCATCGTTCTGGGCACAGTCATCTACCAGAACGTTTTCCACGAGCAAATGCCAAAGGTCGCTGCCGCGATCGGCGAAACGAAGGCCACGTCCATCGAGAACTCCTTCTCAGGCTCTGCTAGCACGCTGATCAAGTCCCTAGGCAGTGCTCAGAAGACAGTCGTGCTGAAGGCGTATACGTTGGCATTGAGTCGCATGTGGATCTTTTACACTGCGATGGCGGGATTAGGTCTCATCATAAGTTTATTTGTAAGGCCTGTCGTGCTGAGTAAATCGCATACCATTGCAAAGACCGGCCTCGCAGAGCAGGAGAAGGCTAGACAAGCAGTTTTGGAAGATCAGAAGAGGGAGAGAGGGGAGGAAGAGAAAGAGGCGAAGGAGGCGGTTTAATGCATCCTTTCCTCGGATTCTTCTTCATTTTAGCTTACATACATCTAAAATCCTGGTTTATCCCTGTGGGAACGAAACTCAACTATTAATGATTCAGGCCTATAAGGTCAAGATAAAAAGCGAGGGAGGGAAGAAAGATACTAGTCGAAGGAAGAAGGTATAATGGATGGGATGGACTCAACTAACGAACTGAACTAGAAACCTTTCATCTGCATTCAACATACATACATCATACTTGCATACTGTTTACATTTACATTTACACAAGATGATGATGTGATGTATCTATCTAAACAATTTAAAATCTAATACTACTTGACTGTGACTGCGTGAGATACTACTAGTAGTAGCATATTGACATATCCACTTTCGTAGTAGTAGCATATACTACGTTAATAAATCATACCCCTCCCATAACCATCATCCACTTTATCCATCTGATAACAAGAGATAGAAGAAAATAAAACTGATGTCATGACTCATGCACCCCCAACACCAAAAAAAGATTTAGAGTTAACGTTTTTATTATTTAGGGTTCCGGCAAACGGAACTATCAATCAATCAATCAATCAATTCTTAAATAAGAATCCCTACTACTTATCAGATAACTAAACTTCTATGTATATTTAGAAGCAACACGGGACGTGCGGTGAACCATAATCAGCAGCAGCAGCAGTAAATTAAGCTAAGAAAAAAAAAAGAACCCTACTATTGAATTTAATTCTCCTAGTTGCACATCGCGCAGCTTTGTTATGTACACATTTTTTTTTCTTGTTTTTTTTTTTTTGTAATTCCACCCAAGATAATAAGAACATTGTAATAATATATGAAAGAGAAAAAGCCACCCGTGACTTGGAAGATTAAACACTTAATATGATAATATTATGTGTTTCATCTTCAGAGTCCTCAGCGAAAAATAAAGCGAAACAGTAAGGAAATAGGTAAGGAAAAGGAAAGATTTATCGCACCATTCTCATATATTTCAGACTTTGGAGAGAGAGAAATCGATGGATAGCTAGGTCAACTGCCAAAAACGACAATGGCAATAACAATAAAAGGAAGGGGTATAAAGTTAAATCGGAAACCCTTATCACAAAACAAGGAAGGACTTGGTACTTGTTCAGAACCAGAGGACAAAGAAGGATCCAAGGGAAACAAAACGAGCCTCATTCGAAACTTTCCCATCCCAATTAAGGAAACCAAAAGTAGCTTTCGCCAACGCCTTGAGATGCCATATATGAAACACGGGGGACATGATCACCCCAGCAACAAAATACCACAATCATCAGTCTAGTAGTTGTAACAATAGGGAGTGGATTACGTCTTTGGTTTCTTCATTACCCCTTCCGCATTGGGTCCACTGTCGGGGCTTTTGCGCTTTTTGTCTTGCTCATCCTCGCGCCCAAACCCGGGGCCACTTTGCACCGCCGGCGTAGGGAATGTTAGGGGACTGGGCAGCATGTTGCTGTCTGGTCCAGACCGCCCAAAGCCCCATTCCGGGAAGAAACTGGACGGTGACGGGAGAAGCGCATCCGAGACGAACCGACTAGGAAGAGCAGAGATCGGCGTATCTATATTGCTATTATTGTTGTATGCACTGTTGTTCTGTGTTGCTGCTCCCGGAGGCGGAGGCCGGGCAAAAGGATTTGGCGGTCCTTGAGCCCCCGCACTTAGTATTGCGCCCGCAGACGGCGAGGGCGGTGGTAATACCACGCTCGAATGGCCGGTGTCTGGATTTGCTTTGGCGGGCGTGAGCGTTTTATTCCCCGCCGAATCGCGTGACGATGAGTCCGCTGTTGCGCTGCCCCGGTCCGAATTCTCACTCGGTATCTGCACCTTCAACTGCGGGCGTTTAGGCGGGAATTGGCCGCTGTTTGTGCGCACAGGCGGCTTCAGATCAACTACCGGCTGTGGACGTGGGGCTTCCGTGGCAGCTCGGGGAGGTGGAGGAGGGGGCTTTGCAGTCAGCCCGGCAGGCTTCCCGTCATTCGGTCCGTGTGCTGGTCCTTCGGCCCTTGTTTGCGCAGTCTCTCCCGCTTCCGTCGGAGGACCTACACCGAAATGGCGCGCTAATACAGAACCTCGATCGTCAATGGGTGTGAAGATACTGCGAGACTTGGAGGAAAGAGATCGCTGATGCGGCGGGGATGGCGTTCCTTCCGTCTTCATGGGGCCCGGCATTGCCTCTGTCGGACCGCTCCCCTCAGGGAGCGATACTGTTCGGGGTGGCGGTGGCTGCTGATCTGTTGTGAATGCCGGAGGCATAGAATTTCGTCCTTGGTCTGGGAGAAACGCTTGAGCGACCTGTGGGATGGCGGCATGGGGCGGTTGGGTCATAGCCATCGGAGGCGGTTGCTGTGCAAGTGCATGAGGCGGGTGTGGCATGTGTGGAGGAGCTTGGTGGTGCGGCGGCATGGCTTGCGGTGCCATTGTGTGTGGAGGCATCGGCTGTGGAGGCATGGAATGTGGTGGCATAGCTTGATGATGCTGTGGAGGCGGAGGCGGTTGGTGATGCGGCCCCGGGGGTCCGTAATGAGTGAACTGAGGTGGGCGGGGAGGTTGAGCCATGGCGTGAGCAGCGTTGGGGTTATATACCGAAGGGTTAGGAATGTACGTGAAGCCATTTTGCGGCGGCGGCGGAGGCGGCGGCGGTGTCGCATGATGATGCTGCTGAGGCCCCATATTGGAGCTCACTCGGCGAAGGTGATTCCGAGACGAAGGTCTAGAAACTCCCTGGGGTTGAGGGGTACCGTGGCGCGGAGCAAACATCCCATTCCCGATGGGCGGAGAAGCAGACGGCGCATGAGTGACATGCTGGAAACCGGGATGACCTGGTAGGTGGGCGGGAATCATGGGAGGGTTCGGAGGCGTAGGGTGCACATCTTCGGGGGCAGGCGTCGTCTCATCTTCGTCATCATCATCGTCACGTTTGCCGTTAAAGTCTTCGGGGCCTTTGTGTTCATGTGGAGGACCAAACTAAAGCACAGGAAAGCGGCGATGTCAGATCAACAGGAGTCTTTCAGACGAGCGGGTTAGGTGGACAACGCACGTATTGATATCGAGTGAGGGCCTCTCGCATATCACATGACGAGAATTCGTAGAGCTTCTTGTTGTGACCAAAGATAATGACAGCGACATCTACCGAACACAGGACCGCAAGCTCATGTGCCTTCTTGAACAGACCACCCTTCCGTTTCAGAAAGGTCCTAGTAGCGCACCAGAGCGTTAGCTTGACGAACTAGGGTTTAATGGGGAGAGGTGAAGAGATCCACCAGCTTTAGCACTTACACTGAGCGGTTGCGATCATCCTTGATCGCCTTGATCTCGATCTTTCTGCGACCCATGAGGGACAGCGGACGAGCGAATCCCACAGAAAAGAGCGTCGATGAAACAGGCGGGCGAACAGGTCAAGCAGAGCTTCTGGTGAAATGGTTCGTCCGGAACAGATGGCGGCGCGAGCTGAAACTCGAGGAAGCGCCGCCCGCAAGGATTTCCGGGACGCGATTAGAGGGTGTAAAAAAAAAATAATAAAGGATGGCAGGAACCTCCAAGACTGTGGGCAGAATTTATATTTAGTATTTCCCTAGAGTCCCCACATGGAGAGAAGTACTGTCTTCTCCGCTACGGAGAGGAAGGTAAGGCGCGAAAATACGCAAAAATCAGGGAAGATAGTGAACGACCGGGGGGGTGTGTGTGTGGGAGGGGGTTGGTGATGCGAGAGAGTTGTTTGGGTGGGAGAAGCAAGAGGAAGGAGGGGTGAGATTAGGAAGAGTGACGGTATTTTGGAGGAGGGATGAACAGGACACCAGAAGGGCGCGCGCGGGCGTGATCCGACGGGCAGGAAGACACGACAAAGGGGGTGGGCGGTAGAGAGAGAGAGATGGATGGATGGACAGGGTAGGGAAACAAAGGGAAAAGAGAGAGAGAGAAAGACGAGGCCTTAGGAAACCCACCTTGATCAACGAGAGACGAGAGATAGGCGACGTGATAGAACAAAAAAGTCAATTAATTTCTAGGATGGGGAGGGGGGAAACGATGATGGAATGGATGGGGATTGAGAAAGGGAAAGGATGATTGATGGCTGGAGCGGCGACACGCGGGTGATGCAGAAGATTATTCTAAAGATAGACCGACGGTGGGAAGAGCTGCCGCCCGTTCGAGGTTTGGCCCATCTTCCCGGCGGCTAACCAACTCGCCAACGGCGGCTGTTGACTACCGCCTCCCTATTAATAGATTGATTGTCCCGGCAGTTCACACTTCTATACCACCTACTGACTGTACCTAGGTACTCCATCAGTAGTTGAGTAGATATAAGATGAAAGGGTAGCATCCTCTCCTTCAATCTCACCTCTGCGAGGATTTCATGCTTATTTTCTGTGAAGCATCTTGACCAGATTCTTCCTCCTCTTCTTCCTCTCAGCACAAATGCCATCTCACGCTTACCCACCCCTCTTTCCACCCCCTCCTCCTCCCATCTACAAATTATCCCCCTCTTTCCAACACTAACTAAGACAAACTAATCTACATTCATTGAAGAGGGGGAAACTGTGAATAACGCCATTACCACTAATCCAGATGAGGTTACATTGCAGTTGGCTGGCACAATTCCCCAACCACAGAATTATCCAAACAAAGCTGCGCCGTTGGTTGTTCTTTTACCGCCTGCCGGCACAGTCACAGCCAAGTCAAGTCTGGCGTATCGCTATCACCGCCAGCCTCAGGTATCGACCGTCCCAAAACCGGATTAGTCCCGGTTGGCGATACGCCTAATCCGCATCGGGCCAACAGGGACTCCTGATCAGTCACTTGCCTCTTCCAGCCAGGTCCTCTGATTGGCCCTTGCACCGTGACCCGTCACAGGAGATCAACTTTCTTGAGTGGAATCGTAGGATCTGTTCTGGCGGTGCTAAGGTGGTGCAGGCCAGGCTAGGTGCTTCCTACATGACACTAACTCTACCCTAATCAACTTATCACACTCGACGCGACACGCTTGGAGAGGCG